GACAGGGTCTCCCTGTAGCCCCAGCTGGCCTGGAACTTACTAGGTAGACCAGGCGGGCCTTGACCCCACAGAGACCCGCCTGCCTCTGCCTTCGGCCTCCCGGGATTAAAGGTGTGCACCTCCATACCCAGCTCATTTTTAGTTTTTTAAGCGTTCTCCACACTGCTTTCCATAGGGGTTGAACAAGTTTGCAGCCCCACCAGCAGTGGATGAGCATTCCCCTTTCCCCACATCCTCTCCAACATTTGGTATCATTTGTTCTCTTGATCTTAGCCAGTCTGACTGGGGTAAGGTGAAATTTAAAAGTGATTTTAATTTGCATTTCCCTAATTACTAATGATGTTGAACACATTTTAAGATGCTGCTTATTAACAATGGTCACAGTGACATCTGCCCAGTGGCTGCCCAATTTACACAATCCAATATGGCAGCCATTGGCCATATGCAGCTATATAAATTTAAGTTCAACTAAAAATTTAGGTCCTTGTTTGGACTACTGCCTTACAAGTACTTAATGTTCCCATGCATCTGAGAGCTGTGTGATGGGGAAGTGCAGGGATGGAACAGAAGGTTCTCAGGGCAATGTTAAATGCTTGCTGCACATCTTTTATTCAATTTTCAACTCCATGAGGTAGGTATGATTCATGATATTGTTTTCTACATCAGGAACCTGGGACACTCAGAGAGTCAATGGGTAGAATAGACTGTTTCTGGAAATCAAAGCTAGTTTTCCATGGTCAAAAGTTAGACATAGCTACTATATAAAACTGTCTCCTGTTCTGGAAAGGGCTGGAGGCAGAATCAAAGCTGGTTTCTGGATCTTGCTCATTTAAGGACCAAAGATACTGCCAAGCATTTCAGAACATCCATCTCTCATCTCAACAGTTGGAATACTACCTGAGTAGGTTCTTCTAGAAGCCCCCATAAATGGAATTCTGAAGTTAGACATGTGCCTTGGGAAGCTGACTTCAGGGTATCTTCATGAATTAACCCCCTTGTATAAACCTTTATCCAGTGCATGTGTGCATGCGCACATGTGTGCACATGCGTGCACACACACACACATGTTTTGGGGCACTGTTGTATTACTGACTTCATCTTACAGGAGAGGATGCTGAGGCATGATTAAATCTATGAATAGTTCAAGATATCAGATATGGGTTGTAAGATAATAAACCCAAGGGGCCATCGAACGGCTACACTTTAGTGTGCTTCCCACTCTGCCTGACTTTGCATCGGGTGTTTTCCATTAGCTCTAATTGTAGAACCTTGAGGTCCTCAGTTAATTGATGAGATTGAGGGTCAGAAATGTGAAGCCATATACTAGGTGGGCAGAAGCTACAGTGGGGCCTCATCAAACCCGTCTGGTTAGAAAAGGAAGACTGCCCAGTCTCTAGGAATCCAGAGAAGGCACTAAACACCCTCAGGAAGGGGTGCAGGATCAAGAAAGACTGGGGTTCCAGGTGTCGAGGGCCAAGGGAACATCAGGAAGATTGTAATGAGGGTTGTCTCACCTTGTGCTTACTGATCTCCCAGACTGGATTAGTGTGTTGAGTCCAATCTCATCAGTACAGTTGGGACTTCAGATAGCTTTGATCCTCAGGGAGCAGTCTTGCATGGCCCCAAACTAGGAAAGTCCCAGGCTGAGAGCTTTTCTGGGAATTGAAAAGAAATAACAAAGTAGTAAGGATTTCATATGGCCATGTCCAGAAAAATCTTCCCATGATCAGGAAAGTCATCCACCTATCCATTTACATAACATTCATCCATCACCCAAGCTATACATCTACAGTAATCTATCCATACATCTACCCATTCACCTATGCATCTTCATAGCATCCACCCATTCACCTATCCAGCCAGCCAGCCAGGCATCCATCCATCCATCCAAACATAAACAAATGTACATCCAAACATACAACCATCTACCTACCCATCCAGCCATCCAGCCATCCAGCCATCCACCTATGCATCCATCCATCCACCTATTCAGTCAGCCATCCAGCCATCTACCTATGCATCCACCCATTCACCTATCCAGCCAGCCAGCCAGCCAGGCATCCATCCATCCATCCAAACATAAACAAATGTACATACAAACATACAACCATCTACCTACCCATCCATCCATCCATCCAGCCATCTACCCATCCATCCATCCATCCATCCATCCATCCATCCATCCAGCCATCCAGCCATCTACCCATCCATCCATCCATCCATCCATCCAGCCAGCCATCCAGCCATCCAGCCATCTACCTATGCATCCATCCATCCACCTATTCAGTCAGCCATCCAGCCATCTACCTATGCATCCACCCATTCACCTATCCAGCCAGCCAGCCAGCCAGGCATCCATCCATCCATCCAAACATAAACAAATGTACATCCAAACATACAACCATCTACCTACCCATCCAGCCATCCAGCCATCCAGCCATCCACCTATGCATCCATCCATCCACCTATTCAGTCAGCCATCCAGCCATCTACCCATCCATCCATCCATCCACCTATTCAGTCAGCCATCCAGCCATCTACCTATGCATCCATCCATCCACCTTTTCAGTCAGCCATCCAGCCATCTACCTATGCATCCATCCATCCACCTATTCAGTCAGCCATCCAGCCATCTACCCATCCAGCCAGCCAGCCATCCTTTGCTGCAGTGTACCATGGATGCCTCTCATGCATTTAATTTAAAGTATTGTAATATAAGTGCTAAATCTTCTCTGCTTTTCTACTTTTGAAAGAAGAAATAAAGAAGAAATAAATCAGGAACCATAAATGATTTCCTTCATTTAATCTCATTTACTCTTGCTCAAGGGACTAAAGTAATTATGCTTCTCACCTTCCGAATATGTAGTCATGTTCTCTATCCGCCTACTAAAAGAAGATTGAGCAGCACATCAAAAGTCAGGTAGTTGATTCATCGGTTGCTTGTTAAATGGTTAATTAGAACTCATGGTTCATTTATTGAACTTGGTTCTGTTATGAACTGGACCTAAAAAAATCAAAGAGCTGAACCCCGGTGCTCTGCAAGCTCACACATTCTCTGGAGGGGAAGAAAAGAGTTGTGAACAGGTGGTCAACTGGCGAGAGAAGTGCTCCAGTCATGGTATTTCTGAGCTCATACTAAGGCGCACGTAGGAAAGAATGAAGAGAAAGGAGGACTTGACTTGCTTTGGTGACAGAAAGACTGCATTCACCCAGGCGAATGTGAAAGCCTTCACGCCTGCACCACTGAATACAGACCCTTGCAGCGTCCACATGCTTTTGTGTGGCCTCCCACAGAGCACTCAGCCTTAACCAACACTGAGCTCTTTAAGGTTCATACATTCTGTGCTCTCAGCACAGAACTCAACAGAGCAGAGGCTTTGCAAGTGTCTCCTAAGAGTGCTTGTTCTGAGTGAAGAACTGGCTAATCATAATGTCTAAATGTCCTACATATTCTTCACCCACCCTCCCAATGCCCTTAATGCCGTATTTGTATTATCATATTTAATTCTTACAAGGAGAGGCAGACAGGGAGAACGAGAGAGAGGAGCTCAGGAATGGGTGACCCAAGAGGGGTAGAGGTGGTGGGAGCGGGTAGTCGGGTGACTTTCACGTAGTGCTTACCATGCCCTGAGCTTTTAAGATGCAGAGGGGACACAGACAAATCCTAAGAATTGTTCCTGACAGAGCTTTAAATTTGCTCCAGGAACAGCACTGAACTGCCTGAACACAGTAGAACAAAGCTCAGCTCTGGAGAGCATTTATTAAATTCCTCCATTGGGCAAAGAACAACGCTAAGCTGGGTCAGAGCTTGGCTGTGTGTCCCAGCAAGGACATACGGTGGTGAGGGCCACGGCTGCCTTTGTTCTCCTCAGGAAGCCACTTTACCTTGGCACACCACAGAGACCTTCCCTCCTGGCTTTGTTTGGCTCTGGCCTCAGGGGCAGAGCATGCTATTTTTAGTAACACTAGGTGTTTGCCTTCCATGTGGACTGCTAATGTTTTTGTTCATACTCATGGCACTTTTATCTGCATTTTGACATCATTTTCTTAGGCTGTACTTCCAGCTGGGTGACTGACTAGAATTAGGGACAAACGGGGTAATAATCTAGACATGTTGGTGCTGCAATAAGTTTAGACACAGAACTAACCTGGATCATGACTCAATTCATCTCTTTGTCCATCTTTGATGACATTTAAAAACAAATCTCCACCCAGAGAGGTGTGAATGGGGCAACTTTGCCTTGATAGTCACTAGAGTATTTATGTATTCTCTCTCTCCTCTCTCAGGATGTGTGCAATGACTGCCCTCCTGGTCCCCCAGGTCTCCCAGGTCTGCCAGGCTTCAAAGGGGACAGAGGTCTCCCAGGAAAGCCAGGGAGAGAAGGCACAGAAGGGAGAAAGGTGAGCAGGGGATGGGCGTGGTCTTTATGCCTGCGATGACAATTTACTCTCTACAGATCCCAGCATGGCCCTCATTTCTCCATCAGGATTCAGGCTGGGAGACTAGATCTATCACAGGGAAGTTCAAGGTTGTGACGACAGACTGGATATCTGTAAAGTTTTATTTTCTTGTGAAAATACTGCTTGCGGCATTCCAATGGATATTAATATCTTGAAATTTGTATGCCTTTGACTGGCCTTCCAACTCCCTCCTTGCCTTCCGTTTGTCCACCTTAGATCTACCTGCTGTGTAGTAGAGGCCTTCAGATCCGTGTGTCCATCTAAGGAGCCCTGCTGCCTGTTACATAAGCAAATATTAGAGGTTGAGTCTTTAGACTGTACCTCATTCAGAGACCCTGCAGTTTGGGAACTCAGACTGAAATCCTTCCCAGTCCTTTTCTTCTTGGCATTTTTATAGAGAACCCAGACTAAGGCAATAAATCAACTCAGTGTTCAGTCTTATCCTTCTAGCCAGCTAGCTCTTGTTTGTGAGATTCACATTTCCCATTTCTTCTCTTCTCAGTGGTGGGAGTAGGCTCACATAGACCAGGGCCACTGAGTGTTGCATACCATCTGCATGGCGTCTAGATTTGCATTTAACCCCAAACAAACCAATCAATAGAGAATACATGATGATTCTTTCTTACAGAATAAAGTCCAAATGTGATTCTGTAATACGGACTATGCAGTGTTCCATATCACACCCATCCATCCACCTCTCCTCCATCCATCCATCCATCTGCCTCTCCATCCATCCACCTCTCCATCCGTCCATCCATCCATCCATCCATCTGCCTCTCCATCCATCCATCCATCCATCCATCCATCCATCCATCCACCTCTCCATCCATTCATCCAACCATCCATCCATCCATCCACCTCTCCATCCATCCATCCACCTCTTATTCATCTACCTCTCCATTCATCCACTATCTCTCCATCCATTCATCTATCTACCCGTCTAGCCATCACTTTGTCATCACCTGTTTTTGTAGAGTGTTCTAAGTCAGGCCTTTTGGCACATACCTGTAACTCCAGCAATTGGGAGACTGAGGGGGGAAAATCACAATTTGGTAGCCACCCTGGATGATGTAGGAAGTTCCAGACCAGCCTACGCTATATAACAATACTTTATCTCACTTTCCTTAGCCACATAAAGTGTGTTCAATGTATCAGTTGACAGGTGGGCACTGGAGAGACTCAGAATAAGAAGACTGAGTTCCTGTTTTCATAGAGTTTATGGGCTGTCTTGGGTAGAATGGGATATAGGTAGTTTTCAAGGGTGGGAAGGATGTAATTTAAAATAAAACCTTATTACAATGATGAAAACCTCTCTTCAAATGTAGAAAAGAAAACTTCCAGTTTTAATATTGAATAACCATCAGCCAGAATGTGACGTTTATTGCAGACTATCTGCTAAGAGATTACAAAGACAGAGAACACTCCCGCTTTCAATAACCAGCAGACCAAGCCACCATAATGGGCATAGTCTCAGATAGGCCTCATAGGTCCTCAGATAAGAGGACTCAGCAGCACTGTTGATCCTGGATGTTGACCCTAGTTCATCTAGTAACTGTGACTCCTATGTCTTATCCTTATCTTTGTGGCAAGAGGTAGCTACCCAACTTGGGGAAAGAATTCTGTTACCATTCTAAAGAAACTGGATGCTAGAGCCCCTTACTTCCTTACTAATTATATTCCAGAGATGCCTCTTGAGAAAGACATTCTTGGGTTATAAATACGACAAAAGCCCCATTGAGCTTTTAAAGGGATTTCCCAGCATTTCAAAGGGAGATCTCACAAGAAGGTATCTGAACTGCATGCTGTGGAATGAGGTGGGGAGCGTCTTTTCTCATATTTTCAAAAGGGAGAATTAAATTCCTAGTGTATAATTTGTTTTGTTCTTTTATGGGACAGATACAAATACAGATGTGGATGTAGCCTTTATTACCAAACCCTGTTCCTTAAGCACTATTTCCCCTGAAAAGACCCAACTATGCAGGTGCTCTTAGCCAATGTGTGTGGGGGGCAGGAATGCAGGCATCCCTCTACATCCTTTGGAACCCTGGGAAGGGTCAGAGAACAATCCTAAAACCAACCGGAGTATCAATACTTACCCTCAAATCAATTCCCCAGATGATCAAGTCATTAAAATAAGCATGTATTGTGAAATTTCTTTTTCTTTTCATTTTTTGAATTTCATACAATATATTTTGATTATCTTTAGACCTCCCTACCCTATGTTCACCCCTTTAATATCCCCCACTGATTTCATGTACTCTAATATAGACAGATAGATATAGGTGATAGATATAATAGATATATAGATAGATGATAGACACATTGATGATAGATAGATACATAGATGATAGACAGATGATAGGTAGATAGATAGATGATAGATAGATGACAGATAGATGATAGATGGTAGATAGATGATCGATAGATAGATGATAGATAGATGCCTGCTGAGTCAAACCCGTGTCTCCAACTGCTCTTGGGTGTGGGTCCATCTGCTAGAGCCTGGTCAACCTATCCATCATCACACCCCTCAATGAAAACTGCCTCTCACTCTCCCAGGAGCCACCAGTTTCCCATAGTTCCTCAGCTTGGGCCAGGACCTCCTTCCCACCGCCCCACTTACATGCTGGAATTATGTCTGGCTTGAGTTTACATCGGTCTTGTGCATTCTGTCACAATTGCTGTGAGTTCATATGAGCAACAGCCCAGCTAGCTGGAAAACAGTTTCCTTGGGGTTATCCCTCACCTCTGACTCTTACAATCTTTCTGCTCCTTCTTCCACAGTGATCTGTGAGCCTTGAGAGGTAGAGGTTTGATATAGCTGTCTTGCTCAGGGATAAACACTCTGCAAACTCTTATTCTCTGCACAGAGAATTCTCTGGTCAGTTATGGGTTCCTGTGTTAACCACTGTCTGCTGCTTGAGGGCAGTTGTCTGGTGAGAGTTGAGGGGTGCATTCATCTATGGCCATAAGTGTCCGATGAAGTCAGTTTAATACTGTGCCTGTCTGTGGCATTTCTTATGTAATATATTATGGGATGCCAAAAGCACACATTCGGATGGTTTTATATCCATGTTATGGAATTTCCCCCTAGTTCACTTTTAAACAACTTGAAAACCACATAAGAAGAAAGATGAGTATGGGAGAGGAGAAAGTGGTCCACATGGTCGGGGGAGGGGAAGATGATCAAATATCCTTGACATGGATGCAAAAATAGGATTATTGGAGGAGAAAGGGACCAGGTGAGGACAGTGGAAGAGGAGTAGATAAGAACATAGTGACATGTATGGAGGAAAATGCCAGAATAATGGCCATTTCTTTGCATGCTAAATAATTGATTTTCTAAAAATATAATGCTATTTCATGTGAGCATATTTAGAGGTTAGCCAGAGGAGCCCTTTCTCTGGAGTTTCACCAGCAGGTAACTCTCAAGGTGGCATGTCCCAATCACTTGGGAAGGGTTTTAGATAAATCCTGTCCAGGACTCTCCGTCACAGAACCTTTCATTAAATCACCAGTGATGGGATGCATATTGTGTGGACTGAAAAACAATAGTAACATCAGTATCTACTCAAGCCATTCTGAAGTTCAGATGCACTCAGCACTCTGTTCTTCCTGGCTAGACCTAGTGGGTAGCTGCTATCCCCATCCTCCCACCAGGGAAGCTGCCACTCCAGGTGTTGCAGAGAAAAAAATAGTAGTCACGAAGTGCATTGTGTATGTCTGACCATGAGTGTACATGCACACATAGAGCATGCCCACACACGGTGAGACACTCCATTATCCAGATGTTATGATTGTGGCAGACCTCTTCACCCTGAGTGTATTAGACATCTGTCAGTTCAGCACACATTTGCTCAAAACAACAGGTTTCTATGACCTAGTTGGTTGGCTCTGGATCAGGTCTCCTCTATGGTGTCCCTTAAGCCCTTACTATAATTATTTCAAGGTCTGTTTGGCAAAGAACCTGCTTCTGTACAAGACCATTCTATGGCTGAGCTTAGTGCTGGATTCCACACTGGCTGTTGGCAAGAAGCTTAGCCCTTCCCTTCCCACCTGAATGGTCCACAGAGTTTCCTAGGAAGGCTGAGATCTTGAAGGTGTTTCCCAGAATGAGTAGCTGCATAAGGAGCAAAGGTGAGGAGGAAGAATGAGGTTGGATCCAGGCACTTTTACACCTTAATGTTGGCATCAGTTTTCCATCAGTTCTACTGTATTCTGTTAGCCACATTTAATAAGCACATTATATTTGAATGTGGAAGGCAGAGGCACTGGGTCACCTGGGTGCCTGGCTACCATACCACAGCTCACCAACTAGACATGTTAGTTAGGTCCATGACTTCAGAGTCACCACTGGTGCCGTCGTTTGTCCAAACCCTTTGCATGCATGTGCCATGGAAGTGTCTGACTGTAGTGTGATGCTAAGGCCTAATGATGACTTTGAACTTGAGTTCAATCTTGGGATTTTTCAAATTTTGTTTTGAATTTTATTTCATTTAAATAGATTTTTAATTTTTTATTGAGCTTTTACACATTTCATACAACAATTCTTAATCAAATTTAGACACCCTCCCCCATCCATGCACCCCAAACCCCCCACCAGGCCTCATGTTTTCTGTCATACATGTTAAGTCCTACTGATCACATTCAGAGCCCCCCTTCCATCTCCACCCTCACCTAACCAACCCTTCACCCTGACTTTATGTACTCTAGTATGATTTCTCTTTTTCTAAGGGTTCACCAAATGTGATTTGTGTTTCCCAAATGCTCTTGGGTGTGAGTTCATCCCTTGGAGTCTAGTCAACCTACTGGGCATCATGCCAGCAAAGAAAACTCTCGCTCCCCCAGCAGCTATCAATTGCTAGTAAATTCCCAATGGGCTTTTTGCACACCACACCATTATTTCTGGGTTTTTATCTGGATTGGGCTTGCACGGGTCTTGTGTATGCTGTCATAAGTACTTTGGGTTCCTATGTACAACTACCCTGTGGTGCCAAGACAGCATGATTTTCTTGTAGTCATCTACCACCTCTGACTCCTACAGTCTTTCTGTCCCCTGTTCTGTAAATGATCCCTGAGCCTTGGGAGGACAGGATGTGATATAGGTGTCTTAGTAAGGGTAGAACATTCCACAGTCTCTTGCTCTCTGAATGTTTACCAGTTGTGGGCCTCTATGTTAATCACAGTCTGCTACAAGAAACTTCTCTGGTGAGAGTTTAGAGATACATTAATCTATGGGTATAATAATAAGTTGTAAGGAGTTGAATACTATGTCTGTTTAGCTGATAATAGTAGTTCCCCTACAGCGTGTGACCTATCTAACCACAGGTTCTTGGTGTTGATAACAGAGCCAGGTATGGGCTCCATATTGTGAAGTGGGCCATAAATCCAGTCAGAAGGTAGTTGGTTACCCCCATAATATTCATGCCATTATTACATCAGGGAGCATATCTCTAAAGGTCAGTTGTTATTGTAATTCTCAGAGTTCACAGTTGGGTAGGGTTGGAGACAGTGAACATCTTTATTTCATTCTTGGTTTTAGTGGGAATGCTTTGTTTTTTCCTCCATTTAGCATAATGTTGGCTTTTTAATTTTTCTTTTTTCTGTGTCTCTATTACAGGGAGATGCTGGGCCTCAAGGCCTCCCAGGGTCCCCAGGAGTAGCTGGGCCACAGGTCAGTAAATCTTCACAAACATTTATATATATATCTATATCACTGCTTCATCTAAGTTTGTGGCAAGAAATGGTTAATAGCCTTAAAACCTGGGAACTCAGTTTTCAGACTGTAGCTCTGATTTTCTCATGACGTGGAGAGCTCAGGGCAGAGCCTTGGCTTTTCATTTAGAAACTCCCAGTCGTTGCACAGTGTGAAACACACAAGGGCGCTGGGCTTTGGAGGCACTTCCTGGAAAACGGTAATGTACATGTTTAGGATCACACACCTCAACTCACTACACAGTAATGATAAGACTAAAAACAGCTCCAGAGAGAGGTGTGTTAGAACTGAGTGATAGATTGCTGCTCAATTCAAAGAGAACAAAGAAAGTGCTTTCCTAATGTGAGTGAGCTCATGAGAATGTAAGACTCCCATTTAAAGTCAGCAGCACCCTCTTTGAAGCCATGGAGCTGGGGAGAGGCCACCAGGGAGAAAAGATGCATGATCTCCACTGCAGAACAGGCAGGGAGGTGCTCTCTGGATGTCTAAGCAGCTGCTCTTGGGCTGGGTTCACATTGCCTGCCAGTGACAACACTTGGCTTTAAGAAGCTTTTGTACAGTATTGGGACAGGAGGAGTAGGTAAGAAGGGACACCTCCCACCCTTGTCTCCCTCTATGCTCCCTGTTTAGTGCTCCCTTGTTTTCTGTGGCCTCTTAGGGAAGAGTGGATCCTGGTGTCTCTTCCTGAGGCCTGGCAGAAATACCAACATTTAAAATACAGGCAGGACCGACCTCCTGCTTGGATGACCCCTCACTATCTTCCCAGTGGCTCACGCAGTCAGATCTTTTCTTTACATTCTGAAATTTCATACATTTCACATTCTCTTAACTTGACATTGACTTTTTAAACTGTTGCTTTGGGATGCTGTTTAATCTTGGTTACTAAAGTGCTTGTTATCAAAGTGCTTGGGCTGGTGAGATGGCTCTGTGGGCAAAGGCACTTACTATGAAACCTAGTGACCTAAGTTTGATCCCTGGAGTCCTCATGATGGAAAGAGAGAACCAACTTTTGAAAGTTATACTCTGATCTCCACATGTTCACAATAGTATACCCCACACAATATAAATAAATGAATAAATGTTAAAAACATTCAGAGTTATGGGCTTCACTTGCCTTTCTTTAGGTCCAGTCCTATAACATGGTTTTGGAGATGTGATTATTACCATTACAGAGCAAACCAAACAAAGGGGTCTGACAAAAACCAATCCTGGGGTGACTCGTGATAAGAAATAATCAGGTCTCCCAGTCCCTAGTGGCAGGTTGAGTGGACTGGCATTTGTGATTGATTTGTTAATATTTGAAGGTTTTTGATGCAGCCAAGACGTTTCCTATTAAAAACCACCACCTTTGTCAGATCTCAGCATAGATGGAACAGAATATTTTCTTGAGGATGGTCTTGGATTGAGAGGTACCAAGAAAGTGGAGTGTCACCAAGTGTCCAAGTACTTACTGCACATGGCCCTCCCTTTCTGAGGCTGCAGGAGAGGCTCGGCTACTGCCCTGAATTCTGTGCCTGTACATTCAGCTGTTCCTTAAGTGATCCTTGCTGCCAGTTCCCAGCCTGTTGATCTAAGCCTCCACAGGAAAACAAAAGCAGATCAATTAAAAGTTTCCTCCACTAAAGCAGCCCATTTCTACGGTTTTCTCTATCATCCCAACCATGAAGAAAGCACTGAGGTTTTAGGGGTGTGCCTCCATCTTTGTTGGCTTCAAGGGGTTGGGGGGGTGTTCTTTAAATATTTTGAAAAAGCTCTGGCCAGAAGAGGAGTAAAACAATGCTGCGTCTGAAGGCCAGGGATCTTTCTCCTACACTTGGTAAGAGGTGCTGATCTTGAGAAGTCCTTGGAGTTCCAGGTCCATCCCTATAGTTAGCTAATAGGAGTCCTCTGAGCAGTATTCTAAGTGCTGAGCTGTCACCTATAAAATATTGCCTCCTGCAGTGGCCAACATTGTCCTGGGAAGGAGATCCATCTCATTTTGCAATTTAGGAAAATACCGTTTAGTAAGAATAGATGCCAGAAATAAAGCCCACTGGTATTATAGCTGAAGTTGCTTCCTGATGGTCCACGGTCCAATAGTATTTCTAGCCACACTACCAGTGCCAGAACCTCGGACAGCTCCCAACAGAGTGCTGCACTCCTTCATTCTAGGCTGAGGGTAAGGCCTGGGGACCATGACCTTATTGGCCTTATTTTTGATAACGTGAGTCACAGAGGCCTTGGTGCTTCCTCTGAACAGCTACAGGTGTGTGTCTTGGTTTGTGGTTTAAACCTCAAGCCATTTACTTTGCTCGTCACTAGTCCCGCAACTTTTCAGAAAACAGACTTGTTTTATTTGCTCTCTGTTCCTCCTTGCCCAACTAACAACTCTGCAAGTCTTGTGGACACAGAGATGAGTTTTTAAGTAGAAAAAATGATTGTTATGGCAGAGGAGAAATGGCTGCTGTTGGACGCCTTTGGTAGCCAAAGACCTTGAGCATTCACTGATCTCCCCACACTGTCAAGAGGCCCTGGCTCCTTGGTTGGCGATTGTGGCTTGGTATCCAGGCAGCAGGTTCTGGTGACTCATCCTGCATCCTTGCAAGCAGCAGCTCTCTTTAGGGGCTGGGTTGAGGTTGGGGAGGTCAGCACCATGGTCAGTTACAGAGCTCCCTCTCTGGGCCTTGAAACTGCCTTTATGGGACAGGGTCTGGAGACTGGTTGCAGTTATGATCACCGTCAGGTAGAGGAGGAAGAGGAAGCAAGATAGTAATCAAGTTGATGGCCCTGGGACAACATTTCTGCAGTCAGACCTAAAAGCCTCTTTTGCATTGGAAATGTAGGCTGTTTATTCCCCCGCCCCTGAAAGTATTTTATTTCCTGCCCGTTACACATCCCTCCCCCAGGTCTTGGGTGTAATGGGAGTCTGAAAAGGACCTGGAGACATCCTAATGAGCAGAAGTCCTCTCTTGGAAGTTCCAGCTAATTCTGGGGAGACAGAAGGGATACCTGCTGTTGTTCCCACTATGAGAGAGTCTCCTAGAGCCCCATCCTGCTAAGAAGGTCACCAAGGCCACCTGCTTTGTGCTGTCTTTATGGGCAGCGTGTTTTACACCTTTGTCTGCTCAGTTCTTAAGGATTGCCACTAAGTGTTCCCTTCAACAGTTACTTCCATGTCAGACAGTACAGAGAGAAGGAAGGTATGGGCCATGCTTTTCAGAGCCTAAGCTGAGGTAGAGGGAAGAGACCCATGATCTGGTGGGGGCTCTCAGAAAAAGACACGGTTACCAAGGTCTTCACTTAGTTTCTGCTTCCTGAGTGAGTTGACTCCCTAATTACAGAACTTTGAGTTTTTCATTAACGTCTCTCAGTCTTCATTCCTTCATCTAAGGATGGCAGCTGGGCAGGTATTTGCTCATAGGTTTCTCTAATTCAAACCCTCAGTATATATCTAATCATTTAACTTAACTCACAAATAACATGCAGAAACCAAAGAGAAGAAAATTCATGGAGCCATCACATAGGAAGCTTTACTAGATGTGAATGCTACTGGTCCTCATGACTCCTGCTACATCGGACTTAAACACGACAGATGTCTGGAATAGAGTAGGTAACTTTTAAAAAGCCAGCATCATTAAGTAGTCATGTGTGAAACCCCCTGAGGAGGTGTGGTTTTAGTTGTTTGGGGAATTAGACAGGACTTGTCAAGGATGTGTACAAGGTTCTAGTATTGAAATGGCCCGGCTGATCTGAGAGTTATTACCCTGGGAAGTTTGAGAACTCCACTCCACAGCTTATAGATGCCGCCTTGAGGAAATCCAGGTGATTTGACTTGTAAAGGACGGCACAAGGGCAGACTTGAAAGAATGGAAATACAGTTAAAACAGCACAATGGTTTTAAATTAATATTTATATCCGCTTTACTAAAAATGAATCAAAATCTCTTCCCAACCTTAAAAACCTCTCCACAAAGATAGAAAAGGGGAAAAAGGGAATCTTATCCACAAACAAACCCTAAACTAGAATGGGATTAAAATGGGATGGACATCGCAGGCTCAGGAGGAGGTGGTAAAGTCAGGGAATCTTCGCTCTTCAGCACCTAGGCTGTGCAGTTCCATGCTGCATACATCTCAGGACAAGCGCTAACTGGTGCTCAAGTTAGAGGACTTGGCAGTACCTTTGGTCACACTTGTTTCTCTGATTTTCCAGGTAACTGGGATGGTCATTAGCATGCTAGCTGGCCTTATCCAGAGAGATTCTGCCAATCTTTTCATGGTTGGCTTCAGGTGTCAGTTCGACAGCCCTGGGAAGAGGGAGCCTCAGTTCAGGAATTTTCTCCATTAGATTGCTGTGGGCATGTCTGTGAGGCATTTTCTTGATTGTTGAGTGATGTGGGAGGGCTCAGTCCACTGTGGGTGGTCCCATCCCTAGGCAGGTGGGTCTGGGCTGTATGAGAAGAAAGACTGAGTACAGGCCAGTGGAGCAAGCCAGTAAGCAGAATTTCTCCATGGCCCATGCTGTAGTTCCTGCCTCCAGGTTCCTTCCCTGAGTTCCCACCTGACTTCCTTCAAAGATAGGCTATCACTTGGAAGTGTATGATGCAATAAACCCTTTCCTCCCCAAGTTGGTTTTGGTCAGTGTTCTATCACAGAAATAGAGAAGCAGACTAGAACACATACATCTCCCTGCTTTATCACAGGAGGCAGTTTTGCACCTGAAATCCAGGCACATGCCAAGGTTAATCTCCTGCTTTGCAGCAGGACCTGAGAAAGGGACCAGTTTTCTTCCTTGATGATTAAATTTCAAGAGATATTACTAGGTCATGAGAAAGATATAACCAGGTTCCTGGCCATGATGATGCTGAAGACCTGCTTACCTTTTAAGAAGACTTACATGGATTCCAAAGAGCAGAGAATACTCACAGTGGCGATTTTTCACGTTGTGCTGGGTTATCATAATTCTCAGCTCCTAGAGCATTTATAAGGCACACCTTTCAGTGTGTCTGGGGGATGTTTTGAGACGGTTTTGAGACAGTTAGATCATGAGGCCTCTGACCTAATAAATGGGCTTTACTTTGATGGGTTCCTAATGCATTGACATAGGTACCACAAGGTAGAAAGTGGGGCCCGCTTGGAGGAAGAAAGTTTGGGGCTGGGGCATGCACTTGAGGCATGCCTTGCTCTGGCTCCTTTCTGTGTCCCCACTATTTGTTTCCTGGATTCCCTGATGTGCAATTCTTTGCTCCATTATGCCCTCTTTACCATGGTGGACTGATACCCCTGGACCCATGTGTCCACATAAATCGTTCCACCCTTCCAGTTGTTTTTGTTAGGTATTTTGTCTGAACTTTGCAACACATGTGTGCTTTAAGAAAACTGTATGGGGCTGGAGAGATGGCTCAGCAGTTAAGAACATTAGTTGTTCTTGCAGAAGACCTGGGTTCGAATCCCAGCTCCCATATGGCATCTAACAACTGTCCGTAACTCCAGTCCCAGGGGATACAACAGCCTCTTTTGTTCTCCGAGGGCATTGCACGGCATGGGTGCACTTACCTACATGCAGGCAATACATGCATACACATAAAATAAAAATGATAAATAAAATATTTAAAAAAGAAAAGAAAACTGTATGTTGGTGTGTGTGTTGGGGGGCATGTCCATTCTAGTCCCTTATTTTTTTGAGCCGCAAGGATTAAGCCTTGCAAAGGTTCATGAGTAAAATGTAAAGAGAACCAGGATAGTAGAATTAACCTATAAGTTTCCAAGTATAAAAATTCCCAGAAGACAGGGTTGATGTCTTTCTTCTAGATTGTTCTATCTCCAGTGTACCATCATGTGCCTGATCTGCTGTCAGCATGGTTGACCTGGTTTCTCCACCCTACCTCAAATATCAGGATACTATAAGCCACCAGGACCAGACATCATAGCTTCAGGAAAGAGCCAGGAAACTAATTTTGTCAGGGAGAGCAGAAAGAGCTTGAATATTTGATAAAGACTTTGTTTTTATTCTGTGACTTAGGTTTTCAGATTGCTTATTGATTGATATTTATTGATTGATTGTGCTTTTCTGAGGCAGAATCTCATTGCCCAGACTGGCCTTTAACTCAGAATGTGACTGAGGATGACCTTGAACTCCTTATCCTCCAGCCCTCCCTGCCCAAGTATTAGGATTACAGGCACGTAGCACTATGCTTAGCCAAGACTTCTTTTCAGCCCATGAAGATCCCGTTTGTCAAAGCAGATTTACTGGCTAACTTAGATATCATAGATGAATTACGTGTTTTTGGCATCACTCAGGGTACAGACAAAGAGCTACATGTAGCAGATCTTGTGTGGAAAGGACTTCCAAAATGTCAGCCCTCTGTCCAGAAGGAAGGCAGTCAGGTTTGGGGGTGGCTCTGTTTGCTCTGATCTTCGACTGTGGTCTGATTGATATTTATTGATTGACTGTGCTTTTCTGAGGCAGAATCTCATTGCCCAGACTGCCCTTTAACTCAGAATGTGACTGAGGATGACCTTGAACTCCTTATCCTCCAGCCCTCCCTGCCCAAGTATTAGGATTACAGGCACGTAGCACTATGCTTAGCCAAGACTTCTTTTCAGCCCATGAAGATCCCGTTTGTCAAAGCAGATTTACTGGCTAACTTAGATATCATAGATGAATTACGTGTTTTTGGCATCACTCATGGTACAGACAAAGAGCTACATGTAGCAGATCTTGTGTGGAAAGGACTTCCAAAATGTCAGCCCTCTGTCCAGAAGGAAGGCAGTCAGGTTTGGGGGTGGCTCTGTTTGCTCTGATCTTCGACTGTGGTGGGCACAGAGACAGGGACAGCTGTGGGGATCCTGAGCCCCTGACATGTTCACTGATGCCAGGCGAGCATCGAAATCAGTCCACGGCAGGCTGAGCACTGGGATTTGAAAGGAAACATGGTTAAGGTTGTTGGTTGTCCTAATCATTAGGGTAGTGGTGTGCTGTTCTGTGGCCCTTCTTCCATTGCTTATAAAGCATCTTCAGACAGAGAACCAGCTTTGGAGCTTTAGAAGCACTAGACAAAATTGCATGCAAAGATGATGGTATAACAGCTTTTCCCATGAACCCGTCTTTTCCCTCCTCTGTGCGATGACACGCAATTCTACACAGGAACAGTCCACCCAGCACAGCCCAGGGAGTGTCATTATGCATGCATCCATTAATGAATGAACCGCTGCCATGGGCTGGATGAAAAGAGGGCTAGATTTGACATTTCAGTGAGACTCTCATATATTGACCTGACCCTCCTGAACCTTCTGGATGGACAGATTGAAACCCCAGAAGGAATATTACCTGCTCTACTAACTTCTGCACTCTTTCTTGGGGGAATTCGGCAGATAGTTTTGTCTGCATTGCGCATTGTGTGCCCTGTGCTTCTGTGCTTGTAGCTCATGGTTTCTTGTCATAAATAAGAGCATTAGAATCTGGGCTTAAATGCTAATTTATTTGTAGTTTGTCCATTTGTGTTTTCTTTTATCTTTCCAGACCCTCTAGGGGTCCGTTCTCTGTAACACTATTGGAGCAGATATAACCAAGAAATCAATGTCGTGCTTAGATATACTTAGGCCCTGTAACGTGGTCAGAGATGTCAGAGCCAGGGGAAGGGAAAATACTTAGAAGTATAGTGACCTCAAAAATAAGGGGCGAATTAAAACCCCACAAAGCCTCACTCAACAGATAAGAAATTTTCAGCTGAGGCCTGTGACATAATCAGAGAATGGGTGGCAGCTAGGACGTGACAATCTTTGAATCATACTTTTAGTGTCAGTCTATAAAAATATTTCTGATATGTTGCATATCTAAGTGTCTTGGTGACTATGGTGATGTAATCATGGTTATACGAAGAGGATGATGGGGGTGATGATCATGATGGTAGTGGTGATGGTGATGGCAACCATGGTGGTGGTGATGGTAATGAGAGGTGGTTGATGGTAGTGATGATCTCCACCACCCGTCTTTCTCACATACTTGCTCTTCAAGACCCACAGTCACTCTTGCTCCTTCCTCTGTCCCATTCTTCTAGAAGACTCCAAGTCCCTCCTGAGTTTCTCGTCCCCTCAGCCTGGACCAACTGGTCTACCTTTCACTGTGGTCACAGCTATAATATAGAGCTATAGTCTGACTTAGTGATGTTTGTCATCTAGCACTATGTCCAGATTCATGAGCAGCACACCAGGCTTACAAAGAGCTGAGTCCTACCTACCTCCGAACCCTGTTTTTTACATTCCCTCCGTGGTGCCCCAAACCCAGCTTAAAAGCTTCACCAGCCATCTTTTAAGCACGACTTGCTCCTGTCCACTGCTGCCATGCTTAACGTGCAGCGATAATTTGATAAAGAATTTGAGGGCTGGATGGATGACATTAAGATGTTGTATAGCTCTAGTGAAATTTCTGTTGACTTGACTTTTTTTTTTTTTTTTTTCCTTTCCAAGGGAAGCCCAGGAGAGCATGGTGCAGATGGTGAGATTGGACAGAAAGGTGATCAGGTAAAAGCAGTTTTCTTTTATTATGAATCTCTCACTGGAAGAAAGACCTTATATATACATCCATTCCACTGCCCCTGATACCACCCTTGCCTTTTCTGTGTCT